TGTATTGCTGACTGACTTGCCAGCTTTACGGCAGATGGTGAAGGTGATCAGCTCATGGTTGCTGTCACCGAGCTTCCCTTTGATCGTTAGGTCACTGATTAGGTCATCCCCGGTTGCCAGTACCAGGTCAATCAGCGCTTTACCTCTTGTTGGCTTGTAGACCTCTTGTGTCAGATAGAGCTCATCCACGCACGAGAGGAAGCTTTGCAACTGCTCGGATTTAGCCAAGCGCTCTTCCCACGAGATGTCTGGGTAGTTGAAGTCTCCCATGACAACTATGGACCTGGAGCATGTGGCCTCAGCCAATTCACTGGCAAACTCCTGGTCAAGCTCTTGACTTTAGGTGGGAGGTCTATAGTAGACTCCCACCATCATGTCCCCTGTGCTGTGTTCCCCACAGATTGTAACCCAGAGGGTCTCCAGCCGTCCACCCTGGCCACCAATATCAGCTTGCAGAGATGCGTAGTTCTCCTTGACATAGACAGCTATGCCCCCACCCCTTTTGTTCACTTGAAATCTCTTGTACAGGGTATAGCTGTCTATACCCGTGGTCCAGTCATGGGTGGAGTCCCACCAGGTCTCCGTTATCCCTATGACATTGTAATTATTTGTGTTTAAGCAGGAGGACAAGTTCCTCCTGTTAATTCCCCAAGCTCCTGGCATTCGTGTACAGGCAGGCAAGTGTCCCCTTGGGGGCCCTGGCCTTGCCCACAGATTATTTCAGGGCTGGGGCAGGGGTGGGCTCCCTTAAGTGCCTTGGCCTTCTGGCTTTGCAAGGGTTGCTCAGCGGGCCAGCAGTGGCGGTAGTCCCTCCATCCCGCAACGGGCTTAGTTTAAAGCCGGGTAGAGCAGGTCAGCCAGTCTGGCTGAGAAGAGCCTCCTCCCCAGCAGAGAGAGGTGGAGGCCATCTCTTCCCAGCAGCTTGCTGCCTCTCTCTCCAAAGAGCGGGCTGTGGTCATTGAAGCCAAAGCCTTCCCGATTACACCAGTGCCGCAGTCTTTGATTAACTACCTGGATCCTCCTCTCCCTCCTCAGCCTGTAGTCCGAGACTGGGAGGATCAAAGAAAACACCACCTGTGCCCCCAGACCCTTTAGCCCCGCTCCCAAATCCCTGTAGCGCCTCATGACCCAGCTGGGATTGCTCCGAGCCATGTCATTTGTTCCCACATGGATAAGGAGCATGGGATAGTGGTCAGTGGGCTGGAGGAGCTTAGGGATCGTCTCCGCAATGTCTCGGATGCAGGCTCCTGGGAAACAGGAGACTTCCCAGGCTAAGGGGTCAGAGCGGCAGATTGCCCCCTCAGTCCCCCTCAGGATGCAGTCTCCCATGACAAATACTTTGCGTTTTGTCTTGGGGAGAGTGGGGGCGGTAGCTACAATAGACCCCGTGTTGCCTGTGGGAGCTGGAAACTCAGCAGGCTCTGCTGGGGCTGCAAGAGGTTTGTACCTGTTACCTAGCTCCAGTGGAGCAGGGGTCTTGGTGCGGCGGGCCTTGGGGCCCTTTAACACCTTGGTCCATCCCCTTGGCTGGACAGCATGGGAGGTCCCTGGGTCCTCCCTTGTCCTGGAGGGAGACCGTGGTCTACCCTCTGCCTTCCAGGGGAGAAGGGCCTGGCAGTAGAAGTCTATCTCCTATTCACAGTCCCTGATGGCACACAGTCTCTGGACTGTGGCCTGGAGCTCCTTCAGCTGGAGTACAGAGACCCCAGTAGGGAGCAGACCCCACAAGGGGAGGGGGCCATGCTCCTGGGCCCCAGAGCCTGAAAAAGTGACAGGCAGCCCCTGCAGAGGCTCCGTCTGGGTGGAGGCCTGTGAGACGCTGAGGGGACCCTCGGGGTGCGGCGTGTGCCCATCTGTGTCATGCTGCTGGTGGGCTGGGTACAGCTGGGACTTCGGGGGTGCACAGGCAGGTCCTCGGGCCCTCCCTCTCACCCTCCTGTGCAAACTCCACGCTAACTCATGTGCCAGGCAGACAAGCGCACGTGTTTGCTTGGCCTGTTCGCGAGGCTCCGGTCACGTGGCTCCTTGGGGGGCTGGGCCAAGTTGGGGCCGGGGTGGGGGGGGGGGGGGCAAGAACCTCCCCTCAGCTGCCTCCTCCCACTGTCTGGGGTTAACCCCCTCCCACCACAGGCCTCACTTACATCTGGCTGTGCTGGGGGTCGGCAGGGTGCTCCGTGGCTGCTGGGGGGCTTTGGGGGAGCGGGGGCACAGTGGGCTTTCACCTGCACATCTTTTGCCACTCCCCGAGCCTGTCTGGTTTTTTTAAAGGAACTGTTAGTCTTTATGAAGAAAATCATGAGAGAAATCTATACACTTAATGATGGCCTGATTTGCATGTCCATGTGGTGTCAGAGTGGTTAAGGTAACTCTCTATAGTTTCATAGACAAGACTGCAAGCTTCACCTGGGGACAATCTTCCTTACCTGGTTCAAAATGGTTGGGAACAATCGTCCCCACATGTGTATGTGGCGTATGGATTGGGCTCTTAAGTGTCGGGGCATGAGAGTAGCCATACAATTCCTTTGTCACTGTCCACAGAAACTGTTGTGCCCAACCACATTGGCTCATGTTGGTGAGATGTAGGCAGACCTTGGACTTTTTTGATTCTACTCTTTCCTTTTCACTGGTTAACTAGTTGGTGGGTGGGAACATGTGGAGGAGAACAGCCTCTATAGTGCTGCTTCATCATGTCTTGGTGCAAGTGGGCAGGATGGATTAGGAAGTGGGCCAAATCTAATGTATCAAGCAGTGTAGCTAGCTAACATGCCAGGAAAGGAGTGCTGCATCAGACAAGTGTTTTGCAGTGGTAGACTAGGTTGTGTGTAGACAAAATGGGGGCCCTAAATTGAAGCAGTGGGTTTTTAAAAATACCACTTCAATTTAGTGCCCTTTAAACCCCTGTGTTGTGCGCGCACCCAAACGTACCTGCCTCTCTGGGGGCAGGGAAGGAGGGTGAGCTGCCAGCAGGTAGAGCAGTCCTTGGGCTGTGGTGTGGGGGGAGGAGGGATGCCTGGTGCTTCCCTCTGCAGCAGTGATGCCTCACCCTACTCCAGCAGCACTCACCCACAGGCATCTGGCTCGGGTGGTCCCGGGGGGGCACTGCAGTTGCAGAGGGAAGCACCAGGCCCCTGTGCAGCTCAAGCAGGCTCTAGGTGGAGGAAGAAAAATCAGGCTCACTGCTTTTTTTTTTTTTCTTGGGCAGAGCCTGCCTTCCCGGGCTGCTTCCAGGCTGCCTGCATGGTCTTCCTGCAGAGCCCCTGAGCTGCACAGGGCGCAGTGCCTCACTCTGCAGCTGTAGGACAGCAAACTAGAAATCCTCAGAAGAGTTTTAGTTTGATGCACCCCAAGTCATCTAAGGCGCATTATGCTGCTGAATTTGCTACAGTGGCTGGAATTACTGCACAATACACGGCTGATGTGTGCAAACACAATCACCATTAAAGCAGATTAAATGCTTTTGCGCCTCTTTAAAGCGTTGTGCACACATGCCCCTCATTTCATCTACACACAGCCTAGAGTCACTGCCCATTAGACTCAAGGCACCCCCTCGGAAAGGGTCAGTTCTTAGTTTTCACTCTTTTTTTTACTACAAAAAAATAATAGAGCAATTCTTCTGTTGCAAAGTACTCCAAGACCACAACAGATCAAACTATTTTTTACTTTGGATTCCTATTTGAAATCTCAGGATTTGTCTTGTGAATCATGTTAGCACTGTTAGGTGTGAAAATGTTGCCTGGCATACTGTATCACCCTTGCAAGGATTGCAAGGCACCCCAGGGTGCTGTGACACCCTGATTAAGAATCATTGATCTAATGTCAGGGATTTTGCCCTAGAGAACAGGCAGACAAACTCTGAGGGATTTACTGAGTGCCTCAGAAGATAACCAAATTCCAGGCCATTGGTATGCTGGGATTCTTTGCTGGCAATAAGAAGCTCATGTTCAGTTTTCAAACCCTCCATCTTTTTGCACTGGAGAAATCTTGTTTCCCAGGACTCTGGGAACAACAAACATAGGTCATGAGAAGGACTTTGCATAGCAAGATCACCCTTCTGAACCCAGCTGCAAGACCTACTTAACCCTATGATGTGTAAAAAGCAATATGGTTTCTATGGAGGACCTGTGACCTCAGTCACATCTGGTATCTAGGGAAGTAAATAAACACTGTGTGCTGAGAGGGCACAGCAAATTTTTAATCTCTAGGGAGGCAGAAAAGCTGCTCCCTTTCCTGAGGCATAGAGGTCAGTGACAAGAGACGAACCTGAACTTGGATTATTGAATCCATAACGAGAGTCAAGTGATGTGCATGGCACCTCTTTGCAATGGTATGCGATACTACCCATATCTGTGGCTTAAGCTATTAGCCTTTCAGTATGTTATGTATTACTGCTGAATATGCGTCTACATCTAAATCTTGCGTCAGCAAGGTTTGGAAGAGGATGCCCATTACATAGGAGTTGCAATGAAATCAAGAGGGCTGTGGCCATGAAAAAAGTTAGGCCTGTACATCTGTACCTTGCTGAATTGGGGCCTCAGGTATATCATTATGTTGTTACTAACTGGCAGGGTGTACTTGATTACATAATGACAAAGCAAAATTTGCTGTGTGCTCCGTTCAAGTAAGTGCCTACAGACGTGCTCGTTCGTGTTCTGGTCAGAACGCTCCAGTCTCACCTCGCGCTCACGTGTATTGAGCCCTCACGTGTTTCAAAATGGCAGTGCGGGTGCTTTAGCTAAACCTCATTAAATGAGCTTTAGGTAAAGCATCCCACAGCCATTTTGAAACATGCTGGGGCTTAAAACATGTGACAGTGAGCTGTTTTAACTAGAGTGGCTGTCCAGGAACCTCTCTAATTAAAACGCCCCCCTCCCCACTGCAGAACATGTGTATAGACATGTTTAGCTGTTGGACAAAAAATTCAAAGCGTCTAAATCACTTAGGAGTACAAAAAAACTATTTTCAACAGTGGCTTGGGCAGTTAAGAGCCAAATCCCATTGAGACTTTCATCTATAGAGAGTCTAAGTCATATCTGAAACTTCTGAAACTCCTTCCTTATTGAGCCTTTTATAGTTCTGGTTGTTAACTTATGTTTTGGATACTGAATGCTCTTTCTTCATTTCCTCCTCATTGCCGTGATGCCTCTGTTTGTCTCCTTTCTGCAGGCAAGGCAGTCATGAGGAAAAAAATATATGCCTTCATGTTCAAACGTCGGAAGCTGCACACAGCTGAGGAGAGAGCATCCATTTAGAAGCCTTACGGACTCTGGCACACTGTTAAAGAAAAGAGTATTTAAGTAATATGCACTGTACCGTCTTGCCTCTCTTTTCTTTTTTTGGCTCTCAAATCCTTCATTCCATGTGCCTAAGGTGTTTTTTCCCCCTGCTTTGTTGCCCAGGAACTATAACTACCTCCTTTCCTCTCAGCATATTTTAATTTATATTTTAGCACAGTGGCTTTGAAACTTTTTATACAAACCATGCAGATGTACACACTTGTCTGTCTTTGAGTCCTTGTATGACTTTCATCCTGGTAGAATGCATGCATCTCTTGTCCCAGATGTTTGTCTCAGACCCCTTGGCTATAAGCCACCCTCACCTGGCCCATCTACTTCACTTGCATATAAAATCTTGATAGCAACATCAGTACCTCTTCACACAGAAAAATAGAAATTAAGGTATTGTAAGTAAAATTCAGTCCTCATTGAAATTAATGGGACAACTCCAACTGACTTCCACGGCACCAGGATTACATGTATGCCTTTTTTTCGTGTATTTTTAATGTTTTTTATCAAATGGAAGTCTAGAGGCACCCACCTGTATGTGATCAACCTTCTCTCAATGAGCAAGTACTCTGCAGGCCAGCCATAGTTTTTACACTACTTTTAGAGAACCCTTGTTTTAAGAAATAACTGGTTAAGCAAGGCACCCTAATCACTAATAACACTTCAGTGATAAATCATCAGCTGAGAATCCAAAAGTTGCATATGAAGGACTTGACTTGCAGTAACATATAGCACCTTTCTTCTTGTGCGGAGGTTGGCAAACTTTGGCCCACAGGATCTGGCCCACGGACATGGGGCTGTAGCAGCATTTGGTGGTGGGGGGCTTTGGCTATGGGTGCTCTGCCTGTGCTGCCATGGGGATGAGGTGGGAAGGTTTGCCCTAACCCTAACCCGTGCCTGCCCAGCTCTGGCCCAGAGTGGGTCATTCTGGCTTGCAGCAGGAAAGGGTTGCCTATCTTTGATCTTGTGGGATTACTAATCTGAGTTGATGCCTAAGGATGACTATCTGCACTAGTTCTCTCAACTTTGAATTAAAATTGTTTGACCTGTTTGGAAAAAAAAAGATAAATGTGCAGACTTCTTTCTATGAGTATTTGGATTCTTTCTACTCACTCAGTTCAAATTTCTCCTTAATTTTAGACTCAGTATTGAAGAAACAGAAGAATTGCCAATTTTATCTAACTGCTCCCCCAAACAGTTTGTGGGTTTTTTTGTAAGAAGTCAAACTTTCCTAGGAAAAATGCAATAAAGACCTGTCTAATCTCTAATTGAGAATTTTCAGCTTTTATTTATGGCATTTAACACATTTTCTACTGTGCACTTACACAGGTACTTCTGAAAAATTGTCATTTTTCTATTTGGTGGGATTTATTCTGTGTCAAATTTTATCCATGTAGCAATGATACATCATAGGTTGGAGACGAGGAGTTTTGTAGGTGATATCGTTTATTGGGTCAACTGCAGGATGGGGATAGACTTAGACAAGTTTTCAAATGGAGCACATTCATAGGTTTTTATTTAAGGCCATAAGGAATGATTACAATTACCTAGTCTGATTTCCTGTATCATATTTGTATTTTGACATTTTTTGCTGCAACAATTCAAAGAAGCACCACAAAATAACATCATTTGACTACCGCTGTCTTCTAAAGAAAAGGTATAATGTTAAGAACTTGAGCCATACACTTATATCTGAGGCACACTGCTTTAAGAAACAATGCATCACCCTGGGATGATGTTGACTCATGCATGAATGCTGGCTTTACACAACATTTTGATCTCATGAAAACATTTCCTACCTCTTTGGTGAGCACTGCAGATGTGGTATAGAATCCATTAAATCCCGTTAGTAAAAACCAAGAAATTCAGAAATCCAGCCAGCAGCCAATACAAATGTACTCGGATGGGGAGACCTATAGCAGTAGTTTACAGGGAGCGATCATCTTTGCTCTTGTGTGTTAGGGATGTTGATACAAAGATTGGAGGAAAGTTCTCTCAGGTTTCTTATTTTACATTTAGACTACTTCAACAATGGAAAGGCATCTTAAAAGGGAATAACTGTAACTGATACCAGAGCAATCTGGAGACATCTGGCTTTCAATGAGAATTAAGTCCTCAATATTTGCCCTTCAGTTTAAAAATAAACAAATGAGCCTTTCATTCAGCTCAAGGAAGCAGGGGTTGAAGCTAGCAGTGTTTTTAGAAATACAGAAAAATGAATTCAGTGAAGAGCAATTCCAAATCTAATTGCAGGTAGATTGCAAGTGCTTGAAAGAGATAATAAAGTATGACACTTGAAACTTAAATCCCCATCAGAACTCTAAGTGATGTCAAGACCCCACTCAGAATGGTAACAATTAATAATGTTGACTTGAATATAGTATTGATTCACTCAGACTTAAATCTCAGCTAGGCTGGCAGACTCAGAAATAGCTGTTCTCATTGCAGAGGAATATAGGAATGAGAAGTGTCCCCAGCAGTCTAAGAATGATTGATGGAGTTCCAAAGCATGGACGCTGCTGTGTAACATGAGCCTTGAACAACACTGTAGGTCACCAGTGACGGCTGAAAAGAGCAAAGCAACAAGCTAGTTGTGATTCGATAGCAGTGTGCATGTCATAGTGAAGTCACTCTGAGCCTGTTGACATAGTCTACCATAGTGCCTGTTCAGCACGATGACTTGATGGAGTGGATCACCTGTTAACTGCCAGCTTGGAAGCATCAGGTGGAGAGTTACAATTGTGGCTGAGGGTCCTGACTAAAGGCGGCTTTTGCCCAACCTAGGAGTTCATCCTGAAAAGCAAGACTAAAATATCTGATATTCTTACACAACTCCAGTCCAGCCTAGATTTCCCAGCACAGCTTGCATCCCTCCTGCCCTTTCCAATCTGCTGAGAATTAAAATAGTAAAGCACTTTTAACTTCCATCTCCCTCTTTCTAACATGGTCTTTCCCATTCTGGTCTGCTCAGCAGTCCTCCTTCCCAGTTCAGAAGATTCTTATGTTCACAGGTAGTGGACCAGGGCTATGTCCAACGTGTCCCATCATCGCTGTTCCTGTCTCTTGGATTCCAAGCACGTTGGGGCGCTTGTACAGGTTGACGCACACTGTTGGCACTTAATAATGTATAATAATCATAATAACCCTGGGTAGAGGAGCTTGCAGCTGAGCTTAAAGACTCCTGCTAAATTCCTCACATGCTGTGTGGAATATGACCCTTGGCACTATTGGCAGTGGGAGCACAATGACCTCAATTGAGCTGCAGTTAATTTTGAGTTTTGCTGTATGCCCACCAATAGGAGCTTACATGACTAACCCAAATATGTCTTATTCCAGATGCTTTCTAGTTTACTGATTTATAGAAGGGAGCACATGTTCAAAAAAGCTATGTGCTAAAAAACAAAATGGAAAATTGCACAAGAAAACAGCTGAGCCTGGAGAGGAATAAATTAACAATTGCTAAAGGCTAACTGTAAAAATCCCTGACCATATATATATATCCATCTATGTAAACCCAGATATAGCTTAGCAGGAGCTGCACAGAGCAGGTTCAGTATGCCTTTAACTTCTGCTGTCACTGATCAGTTTTGGTATTTAGTTCTAACGGCTGTTTTATAAAGGGAGAGGCAATTCCACTTCCTGTAATTCTGTGCTGGCACCCAACCAAATACATACTGTAAAACTCTTCACGGAATCTGGTAAGTCAATCTATTTAAAACACACAAAACTCCACCTAATTGCACCTGGCTTTTGTTATCTATAGCTGTGCTCTCCTGGTCTACAGTAAATGGTGACTGCTCTAGGTTTTACTGTAGCAAAATTACACATTTGTAAGAGTTGCATGGTTTCCTGTGGCATTTTGGAGTGCCATGTAAGCTATTTAATATACTTTTTTTGATAAACCATGAATTATACCCCCCTGTAGTTACCACTGGAATGAGGATCTTGTTGTAGATATGCTGATCACATTAGAGCATAGCCATGCCAATGATGAAAAGAACTCTGTGCATGCTTTATGGTGTGTTAAAAAATTGATTGGCTTAAGTGAGCAGGACTATCTTGTAATTGTTGCTGCATTCAGGTGGCCAGTAGTTAATGGACATCAGTGTCCCTTCAAAAAAGTTTCTTGATCTAACTTAATTTACTCAATGAATACCACAATATAAAGACAGCGCCTGAAAGAGGCAGACCTCCTCAGTCTGCGTATGACAGTCTGCACGAGAGTTAGGAAGAAACTTCTTTTGTGAGTTATATTCTATAACTGCCAGCTTCTAAAATTCTTTGCTTGGCCAGCATCTGGTATTGGCAACAGATGGGTATAGGATACTGGACTGGATGCACCTTGGGTCTAACTCCGTAATCGGGAGTATATACATAGTTTAAAACAAAGTCATCGCCCACCCACCTTGTGCATGAACATTTTTTCAGGGATTTATGCAGGGTGGAACAGAATCACTTTTATGTGAGAATCTGACCTGAAGAATTTAATAATCCTCTGTAGGTCTTTCACTTCCAGTGTGTTTTGTATTTTGAAAGGAGTGTGTTCTAAAAGCAGGAAAAGAGGCCTGGGATGTGAGATGGGGGAGAAAGGTCATCATCAGCCTTAATCACATCAGTGATGCAAGTATGGTTTAGGTTAATACCTGATTTGCGGGTGGATTTGGATGGAGAGGCTTTAAAAGTAGTCGCAGAAGAAATCAGAAGTAAGTGTTGCCTCATTCAGTGCTACCTGCCATAACAAGCCCACTTCTTTAGTTGTAAATAGTAGATACCGCCATGAAACATTTGGTTAATTGATGCAGCCAATTCAAGCTGCTTATTCTGCATTGATGCAGCTTTTCAGCTGTTCTAGGAAAGCAACTACCAAATATGGGGATTTTTCCTTCCGTCTTTCCCCTCCCCATATCAGGATCCTGAAATGTAATGCTTGCCAGCCTTGAGATTTTGGTAAACTGAGTCCAAGCTGGGGAGGTAGGTAGAGATGAAGACAGGGAGGTGGATGGGGAGAAGGCTGCTATATTTAACCTCTTCTCCCCAGGTTGTAACTCTGGTGTAGATCTTTCTTGCAGCCTTCCCTAACAGAAGAGCCCTGGCCTCAGCAGTTCCTTTCCTGGGTGAGAGAGGCACATAATGAGGCAGCAAAATTTAAAATTTCTCTTCTCATTTGACTGTGGGGAAGGAAGAAGCATTTCACATCCCCCTCTGGGTCTTTTCTAGAAACAGGTAATGGGTCATTCTATACCTGTCTAGAGTCTTTTCCTGACCTCATGCCAGCAAAAAATTTGGACAGAGTTTACTATAGATGTAGGAGTTGGAATACCCCGAGTCTCAAGGGAGTGGACAACTTCAGAACTTCTCCAGATGTTCATACCAGAGTATAAGGTATGCAAAACCTTCCCAACACTGAGTGTCATGTTGCTAGGTCCTATGTTACATGGGGTGGAGACCTTGGAATCAAAGTAAGCTTGACTGTGGCATCACGGTATCACCTAGCTGGCTTTTAGGGTATGTGATTTTTTTTTCTTTCCTTTTTCATTCCTTCATGCTGGCCCACAGAAATGAAGAACTCCTCAACTACAGGCAACCAAATTATCATCCTGCAACTTGATGCAGGTAGCATTTGTTTAACATCTGATATAGATACACACTTACTGCACAAGGGCTTGATTGGCAAGAGTTGCACTCTTCAGGCCTTGAAGAAAGTATGTTATTTCATGAGCACTAGTACCCAGTACGTTTCAGTCTCTATTCCAGTAGCAAAGAAAATAGCTTTTAAAGACTCTTCCTTATATGTGTTCTAACTTCATTCCTTTCCACAGAGGATACTTGAAATGGATAAGCTGGGCAGGAACCTCTCTTGCTGTAACATTTTTGGTGATCAGATATTTCTTTTAAGGGCTCTTAACAGTTTCTCTCGGTTTAGGTGAGGAACAATCCCCCATGTTGTTGTTGCTGTTGTTACATTTTTATGTGAATCATAGACTCTTCTTTTGGGGCTGAATTCCATCTTGGAACTGGAAGTGGTCAAAAAGGAAACACACTCCCACAGATTAAATCCCACATGAGTTGATGGATGTAATCAGGATTATTATACAACGGAGGACCAGGCTTACTTTTACAATTTAGGAGGGGAGAGGGAGAGGAGTCCTTCAAGTTCAAAAAGTCCTATTGTCATAATTCTCCAGTTGCTCAGAAGTACAGTTGCCACTTACCCTATGGTTCAAACCCATGTGATAAAAAGGGAGTCTTGTTCTGCCAAGAAATTTGTATTAGGAAAATGAAACCATCTGAATGTGAACTTGCTTTAATACAATGGGGACTACTTCTTAGTACTGTACACTTGCTGGTGAGTGTGCATGTATTCTGAAGAGGTTGCCATACATTGATCAGTAATGATACTCTGGTTGAACTGCAGCCCTCCACACTGCTCTTGCCTCTCCAAGTCCATTCACAGTTTGGCTCTTTATCTTTCTGGTTGCCCTACAGTGTTTGCATCGTCTTCAAATTTTGATTTCATTAGAACTATAGACAATTAAGTCCTGAAGCCAGGAAGGGCCCAGAAGTGCTTGGTTGAATATTAGCTGCATTATGGAAATTGCTCTGGGGTGTAACAGTGGTCCATAGACTGAGATTTATGAAACATTGGCTGAAGGTTGAATAGCCAGGATTCTCAGAAGGGAATAAAAGGAATTCTGACAATAGAGAGTTTGTATCAGATGAATGCTTGGTTCTCTGTCCTAATTTGCCATCAAACACAGGTTTTGGGAGCAGCAGTTCTCAGTTATGTGCAACCTCTGTTGTTACAACATGCAGGTAAATGGTTTTGTCCTTGCTCTTTCCTTGCCTGTGGAAGAAAGACGGAAAAGAACATGATGTTGTGCAAGCTACAATGTTTCCCAAGGCTTGTCCAAATTCTTTCCAAACTAGTTCCCTGCTGCAAAGCTTGGGGCTGAGGACTGTGAAAATGGGAAGTGTGGGATGTCCGTAACAATTGTCAGTTCTACTCATTCTACCAATAATTTCAAAGAAATGCTGTGGCTGTCTTGTATTCATCCTGGCATATAAATAGTGTCTTGTAGGGACAGAAGTACCACCTACCGCTTCGTTCTTTCTTTTTTTCTTTCTCCATGCTCCACAGCCATGTCTAATTGATATACAGACACATTTGCAGCTGATACAAAAAATCAGCATGGGATGATTGATGTCAATGGAGCAAAATTTATTTCACACCATTTGAGGGAATTAATCCATAGTATTTTAAAGTTTTAATACCCTCTCTTTCTCCCATATGCAGACAGGGCAATGCTTGACATGCAAGAGGGAAGAGTTTTCCCAAAATGCCTTACAGAATTCCTGCATAAGGGCAATTTTAAAATGAGCAAAGCCAAGAACCTGACCTTACTTTGCAGAGTTAAAAGCTCAGCCTCAAGTGTGGTTTCTTTGACTGGGTTCTGAGTTTGCAATATATCTCACCAACAGCCTTTTCTTTTTGTTTTGGAATAATAGCTTCACATCCTTTATGTAACTTGCCAGGTTGCAGTAGAAAAGGGGAATCGACTACCCAAAATAACCATGTTCTTTGGAAGGTCACTTCTCTACTACAAAGGCACCACACTGAAATGAAGACATTGGGTTCAAAAGTCACCTTTAACTCTTCACTATTCCCCTTTTTGCCCATGACAGCTATTTTTGCCCATGACAGCTGGTATTGTTCTGCCAGTGAAACCTTCATTCTGTATACCTAGAGACTAAAGCTGGGAGCAGCCTCCCAGTAGGTGAGAATTATGTGTCACTACACTGAAAGAGTGATATCAAGGTTACAGCTTTTCAAATTCTACATAAAACAAGCTTCCTTTCAGACAACTAATTATTTTATAGAGTTTGATTTAGGTCATGCCGTATAGTTCAGAGACTTTGTACTGCTATCCAAAACACACCCAATGACCTCTCTTTCTTGTTCCAGTGTTCCTGGCAATGGGCTAGTACTGTGGTGTTTTGTCAGAGTAGCAATAACCATGCTGAAATGAACAACATGCTTAGTAGACACAAGGATGTGGCAGCTGAGAATGATCTAGACCAGTGATTCTCAATCAGGGTGTCACAGTGCACTGAGATCCTTTCACGGGTGTTGGAGGGGTGCCATATACAATGTTAGTCCTGTTAGGTTTGCAAACATGATTCACAAGATAAACCCCCCCCAAAACCCACTAATAGCTGGCATTTTCTGATGGGTGCTGTGAGTCTATCCAGGGGTGCCATGAATCTAAAAAGGTTGCAAGCTCCACTGATCTAGACTATAGTTTGGATATTGGACAAGTAAAACAGATGCCTGTCCCTGCAGCTTTACAATACGGTGTTATTGTGATTCCTGATGTGGGTTTGGTATAATTTCTCTCCTACGAGCTGCAGGCGGAAGGGAGAGAGGGGAGCCTGCATAGCACTGTACCTATGCATATTTTCAGCATCTTCAATGGTCTCGGGCAAAGTTTTTCCTTTGGTCTCTGGTAGGAGCAACACCAATCCACCATCAATTAGACCAACCACAGCTTCAAAAGTACAAAGACAAAAGGGTTAGAGTTGAAGCAGGGATGATGATGTTAATGAGCATTAAACAGATGAGTAATAATTACCTCTAAAGATTATAGACTGAGTCTCAGTGGCTTCAGCTAAGTAAACACATCTTAAAGAAATCCAGATTGCAGGTGGGTTTTTGTTAAGAGTTCTCAAGTTTCAGGTGAGTGCAATAGTTACCAAGGTTACTTTTCTGACATAAGAAAAGAAATTCAAAACCCAAATCTTGTATGTGCTTTGGCTCCTCACACCACTTGGAGAACCCAAAGGAAGCAGTCTGTCTCTGGAGGTATGCCTACTTTCATCCTCAACAAGCTTGGATGGGAGGGCATGTCCCAACCCCAGAAATGTGACGGTGATGCCGCTCTGTCTCCAATGTGCTTATTAAGAGGCTGAGGGGGATGCCCCCAGAGCAGTTTCCCTGCTGCATTTCTGGGTTTCACAGGCTCAGGCAGGTGTGTTTGGGAACATCCTTTCCTGAGAACAGTGTGCCAAGGACATAATGTGTCTCTTAGTACTTAAGGACTCCTTTCCCATACCTATTTGATTGTCAAGCCAGGTGATTTCACCTCAGCTGAATCCTTTTGCCTGGAGCGGTCCATTCTCCTCCCGCCCCAATGTCTAGGATATAACAAGTGTGTCAAGTCCACAAAAAGATATAGATTTCTTACCAAAAACCACTAGTGGCAGCTCATGCCAGATCTCTGCCAGTCTGTACACAATGAATGGCGTTATGATCCCACCAACGTCACACATGGAGGAGCAGACAAGTACTCCCAGATTCCTGGAAAACAAATGCACCTGAAAAGTTTTCTCAACCTTAATCATATTTAAAAGGGTTCTCTAGCTATTTGCTGCTGAAGAATTTTTAACAATGCATGGGGAAGATTAGGCACAGCATTTCTGCTAACAATACCAGGAGGACCACATCTAGCCTGTTGCATGTGACAATGGGTACGTCTCCACCAAGATGTAGCAAGAATATAGGCATTAATCAGATGTTCAGAGGGGGTAGGGAATGAATTCACATATATGATAAATTGGGACGAGTTGCTACCCTCAGGGAAAAGATTTAAAAATGAATACAAAGGGATTTTAAAAGAACTTATTCTTATTGGCCTACTAATCTAGGGCAATGGGGACCATTAACAACAAGAAAATAGGGGTGAGGTATCTGGAAGATCTTCCAATGAAGTGTATCAGAAAGTATCAAGTGTTCCTTCTCTGAGGATGGGAAGCCCCTGAATTTTGGGAGGTAGAAACTGAGACTAGATAAGGAAGTGGAAAATGTTCTGGGAGGAATAATCCTGTATTGATAGAGATTGACAAGATGTCTGTAAGGTCTGCTGTTCTTAATTCTATGATTCATTTCTTTTTAATGAGGGATTGGTTCTTGTGGTGGTTTTTTGCAGGGACAGTCTGGAGGAGTGGGATGGTTTGTAATGCATTACAGAGACTTCTCCGGCCCTTGTTTCTCCAAGATGTATACACTGGGCATGGAAGAGGCAGGGCCAGAGAATCAGTAGCATAACTAGGGCAGGGCAAGCAGAGCACCCAGCCCAGGTGTTGACTATGAGGGGGTGCCTCCCTCCAGACGTATTTGCCATGGGGAGGGCAGCCCTGCACAGCCCCTGCCTGTCCCTAGAAGCCCTATGTGGTCCTATGCCCCGCAGTATATCTGTGGAGCAGGAGGACAGGTGGAATGATGTTTCCTCTCTGCCAGGAGGCCTTGCCTGCGTGGCACAGCTGTGCCCCAGAGGTCAGGATGTGAACAGGGCACCTGTGCTTCAGTCGTAGCAGCACAAGCTTCTGCTGTTAGGGAAGCAGCAGCTGCTGCCTTTCAAGTGAAGAGACTAGAGACCCTGGGTCCCTCTCCTTTCTCCTACTCCATCCCTGTTCTCCAGCACTCAGCATGCCCTCCCCCCACTACTCCCGCACCTATGGCCCCATCACATGCCATCTCTGCTGTCCTGCACATCTGAAATTCTATTTTTACACCCATTTTCCAAATACAAAATCACTTTCTTTGGTCACTGCATGGACTGCAGCTTCCCCTTCCTCATCAGTGGTTTCCAGGCAGCTTCTTGTGGCCATCTCAATGCTACTTTATATTTTCTGGAACTTAAAACATTTTCCATGAACATTCTGCTCCACCTGCCCATGCAGTGTTTGCTAGGCGAAGGAGTGTCTTATTAACCATTAAATATTTTATTTTTAAATTGAATTTCTTTTGTCTGATAGATACCCCACTTTTATGCATCACTGAATTGCATGTTGTGGCTCTAACATGGCCCTGTTATATCTTGGACTGAGCAAGTAGAGACCCCTTGCATTTGTACATTTATTCTTCTCTACTGTCTTAGTGTAGGATGGGCAAACATACCTGAGAAATGTTGGGTACAATTCAGGATTTACTAGGCAAATAATCTCATAGCACATTGTAATTCCCATTCTGCCCAGGCAAGCTGCAGTAGCTTTTAGCCAGTAAAGATCTGGAAGGAAAGCACATGCTTTAGAGTTAGGTTTCTGGCTGGTTTCTTCCCATAAAGTTGTAAAGCACTGTTAAAGACTGAATTTAGTAAATGGTAATACTACACTATAAGAACCGTCGAGGGAGCATATATGGATAACTTTGTCTCACTCAGTAAACAATTTATTTTAATGTTCCTTGGTGGTCTGAGAGACTAGACAGTATTTGGGGCTTTGCCAAGCTGTTTCCAAAAGAAGAGAGAAAGATGATAAGAGTCAAGAATTTCTTTGATGCAATCCTATTTATATACAAAAGAACATATACACACAGTCCTGTTTCCCTGATCACAGTAAAAATAAATAATCGGCTATTTTCTTGGTCAAAAATCCAACTCTGCCTCTTCAGTAAGTACCCTGCCCTAGAGAAGCTCTCCTTGGCTTCTATCCAGAGCCACATCTGCACTACTTTTCTCACTGTCTGCTGGATGATGCCCTTCACATGCACCCAGTGATGCACCTGTAAGCAAACCAGTGTGCCAACTCCTGTGTTCCTAATCCATTGCCACCAAATAGTTCTCAGCCACATTGTTTAGTTTCTGGTCAGGTCTTGCCACACATACCACATGCTTTAGGTCTGGTGATTTCCATTGTTTCATTCACTGGTAAGCAAAGTTGCATTTAATTGCTTCCTTATTTAGTATAGATGAAGGGAAACTTGTATGCCCATTGGCTACTTAAGAGGTCTGTAATTGTTGGGTCACCCTCACAGGACGTGAAAGGTAGGAAAGAAGTGAAATCCTTCATTTGACAAATAAGGAGACTGAAGGGGATGGTTGAAGAAACTCCCCCAAGGCCTCGCACCCAGCGTAACTGCAGAGCGAAGGTTAGGACTCAGAAATCCTTGCATTTTAGCCACATATGGCATCCAGTAGATTACACTGGACTGCCTCCTTGTATAGCCCCTACTGTGCCTCATCACTGTTTTAAGTGGTACATTTGCTCATCAGAGTATTGTTCTTTGGCAGAGTAATTTTTCTCTAGATTCCCCATTTCTATTAATGTGCGTCTGAGCTGACCATGGCTAGTGAGGGAAGTGGGCACTGTGACCAAGATGGTCCTTTCCTGCCCTTGGTTTGGCTGCTGTGGTCACTGCTATTACTGTAGTTGTACTCTTGAATTAAAAGTTCAGGGAAGATGTTCTGCAGTACCCCTTAAAGGACTAGTGCCTTTGGAGCAACAGAAGAGAGAGAGGAGCAGATTAAATGTCATAAAGGACTGGTGTCTGTCATTGAGCTTGCTTGTCATCTTAAATTTGTTAGCTCTGGCGTCAGCATGTGTGAGGGAACAAACTGTACCTGGACAGTCTCTAAGGGCATGCCTACACAGCCATGGCAGCACATCCCAGTTGGGATGGTTCCAAGCATAATCTAAACTCAGATATGTGCCAGTGAGGCCCCTCTATGATATCCCTCTGCAGCTACTCTTGAGACTCCTGGCATCAGCCCCAGACTTGCAAGCGCACAGAACGGTCTGGCCGTTCATGTATCTGGGTTTGGAGCATGCCAGTGGGAGCAGGTGAGCAGGGCATGCTCAGGACTGCTATGGCTGGGGAGGGACTTTGCAGTGTAGTTATTCTCTTGATTTCTGTGTGTGTGCATATATAAGCCCCCAAAAGCTTGGTGCTCTGCTGACTACTCTAAACTTGGGGCTATGTAAAAATGACACAGAGTTAAACAGCCAAGTGGGTGCAGTGTGGGAAATGCAGTCCAGGATGCCCCATTTCTCAAGCCTCACATCAGAAAAACTCTGGATGTGGGAAAAAATGTTTAGTGTTGTTTGTTTTTGTTTTTGGTGGAGGGGGAGGAAATTGCCTTTGTTTGCACTGAATTGCAATGGAGATGTGGTTGTTACAGCAAAAAATGGTTTGGCGTTTCTTTTCCCTACGTCTAGAGCAAAACTACAATGTGGCCTCAAGAGCTAACACTGGCATGGACTAGTTGACTTGAAAGCTTAGAGAACTCACCCTCTGGGATTAAAGCAGTAGCCAGACAGGCAGCTCCTGCCACCACGTTTGCCACTGCCCAGGGATAACGTCGGCCGATTTGATCAACTGTAAGGATGAGTATGAGGGCAGCCGGAAATTCAACAAGAGCGGAATAGAAGAAATCCAGGTAAATGTTCCCACCAGCTATTCCCATGTGCATGATGAGCCCCTGGTACAAAACGGAGCTTGTGAACCTGGACAGAGACAGAACCCAGGTGAAGTCAAATTGCCGAAGAGAATTCATTCAAAGAACTGAGCCAAAGTGGGTTGGAGGGGAAGGGGAACAGGCTCAAACCAACTCTGAAAATCTGGCACTTTGAAATGACAATATTGCCTAACCGTCCCTTACCACGTGTACATCAGAATGAATGTGTGTTTCCTTATCTGAGGAGTCCTGACCAGGTCCAGAAATGAAGGGTTATGCTTCTCTCCATCTTCCTCTTGAGGGATAAGACTCTAAGAGAGAACAAGAGGGATATTAAACAGGGGTATGGGGTTGATGGGTCAGGGCCATGAGTGATCTACCTTGTCCATTTTTCTCTGGATCAATGCAAGGACATAGTAGTTAAGATTTTTCATTTGCCAATTAAGAACTTGACTGCAGAGTAACCAAAATAATGGGAGAAAACATTTACCTCCAGCTTGTCTGTCTGTACCAAATCTGTTTCACTGCACACAGCAATGTATTTTTAAAACCCCTGAACAAAAGATGTTTTTGAATTGGTCAGTCTTGTGAACTGATTGTTAAAATATTGCTTGATCCTTCACAGAAAGGTAGATCGTGTCTATTGGGATGTTGATGTGGGACTCATCATGTGTGGTGTTTTAAGATCCTGAGCATTTACAAATTATAAGCACTTGACTTCATAAGTTTTCACTGCTTTGGCTTGTCAAATTGCTCCTTGTTCCAAACTGAGAGCAATCCTAAACCTACTGTATCATTTGTAAGTGTGTACTCAGCAAATAAAGTACACTCTCACCTGAAAAGAGGAAGGGAGTTTCTTCCCGTTTCCCTTGGCAATGCGATTAATAACTTTCATGGCTTTGTCATTTTTCTTTTGAGCGATCAGCCACCTAGGAGACTCTGGCAGACACCTGCAACGCAAGCAACCATACACAGCTACATGTAGAAGCAAAGTATGTCCTTGAGTATTAAAACTGAATTGAATTTCTTTTGCTAGCATCTAAGGGGTCCTGAAAAACCACAAATCCAGCTGAAGTCCTTGGTAGCTGTGGATGGTCATCTACTTTCAGGCTTATTAGAAAAGTCAAAGATCTACCTGTTCCTAGCAGCCTATCAGGCTAGTCTGATTAAGACACAGCAGTTTCTGTCATCAGCAGCATGCAATGGAGTGATGTGGCCTGGCATCATGTTTAAATGCCTTTGACTCTGTGGGGGCAAATGTGAATTTGTGCCTGGACATCTGGGTTGACTGGTGGCAGCTTTTGACGTGAGGCTTCTAGAGCTGCAGCGGGATGCCTCAAACCAAAGATTCTCAACTAAGGTGCTGGGGCACCCTGAGGTGCCACAAGATCCTTTGAAGGGTGCTGTAGGAAGTGTGAGAAGATAAACAGATAAGGGCTGTCTCAGGTTCTCCCTGCATGACTGTTTCCACACCCCCACTGCCTGGCCTTTCTTCAAGGGGGCAGGGACTGTAATAAATACATTACCTTTGGAAACGGGGTGCTGTTTAATTCACAAAAGTTGTGGAGGGTGCCTTGAGTTTAAGATGGTTGAGAACCGCTGCCTTAAGTATTCATAAATGTTATGGTCGGAAGGGACTTCTCGTATGCCCCCTTTGAATGAACACCTTGCCTGGTTTTTAGACAAAAATAGCTCACTGTATTCATCCCAATTGCAGGGGGGCTGGACCCGATGATCTGTAAGGTCCCTTCCAACCCCTAACAACTATGAAACTATGAAAATAATATTAAAGAAAAAAATCTGTTTGTAAATATTCAAAATGGTTAAAATGTTCTTAATTATGATATTTGCTGAAAGATAAAATATTTGATAGGAGGCTTGAAGCCTGCCATATTTTCTCACATAAAATATGCATCTTTCCCCCAAAATCAGCCCCCCCCCCCCCCAAATTGGGGTGTGTGTCTTAAGCATGGAAGCTGGAAAAGAAGCATACATGTGTGTATCATGCAGCCGCCATGATGGCTGCCGCTTGTGTCTGACTTAGAAAGTGGAATGGAGCCCTATCCAGCCTGGGATGCTGTCTCTGGGTCTTGTCTGGACCAGCACACAGCATGTGCCATTAGGGTGAACACCTGTCCCTAACCGGGTGGGACAGTCCTGGAATGGGAACCTCAAGTCCCAGTCCTGGGTTACATGACCCTGGGACAGCATTTGTCCCAGATTTGCAGTGTTGCGCAGGGATCACGAAACAATGGGTTTCCCCTTGCAGGCTGGCGGCATTCAAGGTGGGTTGGGGTTGCTGGGAGTGGGACAAAGTGGCTGCCATGTGCATGTGCCACCTTTACATTTTAAAAAGGTGGTCATCCTATGTGGCATGCATCACACTGGCCCTCTGTGCTGTATGTGGCACGTGGGGCCAAGACACCAGATACACCCGGACTGGCCCTGTGCGCTGGATCCAGAGCACGGGGCCAGCCTGTGGGCCTGATCAGGCCTATATACTTGTTCCATACCACCCATCCATCCAGCCAATGGGGCATGGCACCCCTGAGTTGCAGTAAAGAACTCATAGTTTTGCTATTGCCCTTGCAAGGGTCTGGAGCCTAATCCTGTGTGACATAGTAAGTCTTCCTGGCAACATGAAGCATCCCAGAAGCCAGTCTAGGTGAGGTAGCAGGAATATCCTGGCATGATAGACTGTTTCCTGAGATGGCACACTGCCCAGACACTTGATATTCCTAGAATGATTTACCAGCACTCTGTCAGTGGACCACAACTCTGGAAAACCCTTTTATTCCTACATTCTGTCTTCCAGAAACCAGGTGTATGTTTTATTTGGGGACATGTGTATGTGAGGGAGTACAGTATTTTTTTACTATTAATAAATACCTACTTCTTAGCCTGAACGGGAGTAACTGTTTTGAAGAAATACAGACCACCTCCCCCTCTCCCCCCACCCCCCACTTAGAGCTATTTGTATTTGAGATGTTGCTTTCACAGCTAGAGCTGGAAGCAACCACGAGCTCCTTGCATGGTAGGTGATAAGGAGTCCTAGTCCAGATGTAGTGTGAATTTTACATCTGATCCCTCACTCTGGATCTAATCAAAGCCCCCAGATCTAAAAACACCCAACTTTGGAGGGAATGAGCAAAGAGCATGCTGGATATGAATATGGTTGCTTGATCCTATCTCTTAATAATGCTACTATAGTTTCTCAGTGGCCAATGTCCTACTCTGCTAGTCTGGAGAACCAAGCTAGTTTCCCAGTGCTGGTCTTGTATGGTACCGGTTTGCAGGGACTAACTAGGGACAAGAGTTATTGAGAAGGCAGGGTCCTGTGTCAGGGAGGACAAATGGGAAAGAATGTCTTATACTGTTCAGGAACAGCCTCTTGGTGAATTAAAAGTAATACAGAGTGCTTGATTTCTTGACTATAACATTGTATTAATGGCACAACAGGTCCCTGTATGTAATACTTTAAAACTTCTAGTCAGGTCTCTCCCATCTGGGAAACACAGCAAATGGCAAAATGGAATTTGCAATCTGTGGGAAAGGTTTGATATTTCAGTGTTTCTGTCCATTCCCAGCTGGGATGCAAAAACAAAATATAAGAACTTTCTTCAGAGTGAAAAGTTCCAAAAAAAAACATTTCATTTCAGAAATTTGAAAACATTTTGTTTTGGATCAACATCCAGCCGTAGACACAGTCATGGGCAAATGGCAGTTGTAATCCATGCTTCCCTCTCTTTGTGCTTCTTGGCTAAACTACAATTTCCAAGATGCAAGGCAATTTTCCTTAATATCTAAAGGCCAAGAGAAGACCAGGTTGTATCTGGGGACTGGTTCATAGCAGTCAATGAGGGGTGTGAGGGAACCAGAAGCACAAGTCCCATGAAACAATGAAGTGGTCTGCAAAAATAATTCATTTCTGACCTAATTAAAAACAATATTGTACTGAATATTTTCCCAGTTGAAGAGAGTATCAACATTTAAAAAAAAATCTCCATTTGTATTTTCTTTCTTACCTGTAAAATTATAGGTACTTACCAGTAATAGAGCAAGAAGAAGAAATTTGGCAATGTAACAGCAAGCTGCAGCCATCTCCAGTGGGGAATCACATAAGCAACGGCCGCAAATACAAGGAGTCCAACAGAAAAGGCTGCTTGGTAAACAATCCCTACAGTCCGCCTATATTTTAAGCCAACAAATTCTGCAACTAAAGAGAATTATATAAGTCAAGATAGAAGAGAACAGATGACCCATCAATTTTCAAACAGGAGAATCTAGTTTACTTTATTTTCATCGGTTCTGGATTCCATGATCTTTTGGGTCCCTGCTGTAGCTGTAATACTGAAGAGCACTCAAAGAACTAGAAGGTGTCCCCAGGCCCCCTCCATCTGGTGCGGTGTAGTTCATGCCAGTCTGTCTCCCTCCTTAGCCCTGGACCATGCATTCGTCTGCTCCCAAACTGTTTCTCCGTATCTCTCCTCTGCAGTTGCCTCGGGCCTCTCTGCTTTGTGCTGGAAGCTGGTCTCAGCTCTCCCCCACCAATAAAGCTATGGTCTCTGTCACTGCCAAATTCACCACTGTCCGTGGCTGGTAGTAATGGCAATTGGCAGAGAGGGTAAATGACAGCTGCAGTAGGTGGGGCCTGAAAGCAGTCTTCAGCACAAAGCAGGGAGGGAGGGTGGCAGTAGGTGGATTTGGGGGCTTTGGAGGTTGGTGCAGATAAACAGTTCAGGGGCAAAGAAGGGGACATGCCAAGGCAAGCTGTGCCACAGGAGGTGGAGGGGTCCAGACGGGGACTTGACAGTGCCCACCAGACTTGTGCAGTGCTGGCCCAGGGCACAAACCTTACTAGTTGCATCTCTGCTGAAGAATCCTCTGAAGTTACAGTTTTGCTCAGGGACAGGGAGTAACTTGAATAATCAAATGTATTCTTCAAGAATAGGATCTGCTGAGCTTGGAGGTCTCTTTCAGTCCATTAACCTACGTGGTAGTGGTGGTGACAGACCACGACGGCTCGGGAAATATGCAAAAGGCAAGATTTTGTTTATTATCTTTTATTGGGCCAGTCTTATAATTGGGAGAGATACGAGGCAAACCTTTGAACATCAGAAGCCTTAAGTCTGGGAAAGGAACAAGAGCAGACAGCCTAAGCTGAGTAATATTAAAACTCAAAGCTGTGGCAAGACTTACATAGGCCCATCCTTGCTGCTGAGCTGATCATTCTGTGTTGTATCACTTTCACAGCTTTGCTTATCTTTTAGACCATTGGAACAATTACTTTTGTTTAACCCTATTACATAAGAAATGCGGGTGCTTGACCACCTGGGCGACAGCGATCATCGCCTGCTGGAATTCACCATCCAGCGCAAGGTGGCAAAGGCCTGCAGTAAGGTAACAGCCCTGGACTTCAGGAAGGCGGACTTCAATGAGGTAAGGAGAATAGTTGGGGAGGTACTGAGGTCCCGGAGGAGAGAGGAGTCAGGTGTCCAAGAAGAGTGATCGTTCCTTAAGGAGACAATCCTCCAAGCCCAAAGGGAGGTAATCTCAACATGAATCAAAGGGAGCAAGGGAGTGCAAAAGCCCCCATGGCTCACCAAAAGCATACGGGAATGTCTCCTAGCTAAAGGGAAGCATACACCCAATGGAAGGGAGGGGCCATCCCCATGGAAGACTATACCTCGGTTGCTCGGGGCTGCAGGGGGGCGGTCAGGAAGGCCAAGGCAGAGATGGAACTGGGACTAGCTACCTGGATCAAGGACAACAAGAAGTCCTTTTTTAAGCACATAGCGGGTAAAAAGAAGGTACCGGGTAACATGGGGCCTTTGCACGACACGCGCTAGGAAATCTGGTCATCACACCAGATAGCAAAGCTAACCTATTTAACAATTTCTTTGCCTCCATTTTTCTGAGCAGGTACCGGGTCTTCCCCCACACCAGGACCCCCCCGTAGACCCCAGCGGAGGCGCACCCAGGCCTGGGGTCAGAGAGGACCTAGCCAGGGAACTTCTGGAGGGACTGGACGTATGTAAATCAGCAGGTCCTGATGACCTCCACCCCAGAGTACTGAGGGAATTAGCAGAGGTCATTGCGGGACCCCTGGCACGGCTTTGCGAGCACTCATGGTGCTCTGGTGTGGTGTCAGAGGACTGGAAAAGGGCCAATGTGGTTCCCATTTTCAAATAAGGGAGGAAGGAGGACCCAGGGAACTTCTGACCAGGTCACAAAATCCCTGGACACAGGTGTTGCGGTGGACATAGTCTTCCTGGACTTTAGGAAGGCCTTCAACACTGTCTCTCACCCCATCCTCATTAAAAAATTAGGCAGCTGTGGTGTCAACGCCTACACAGTCAAATGGGTCACAAATTGGCTGGAGAGCTGCACCCAGAGAGTGGTGGTGGACGGGTCATTTTCGACCTGGAGGGATGTGGGCAGTGGGGTCCCCCAGGGCTCGGTTCTCAGGCCCGCACTGTTCAACATCTTCATCAATGACTTGGACGAGGGGGTAGAAAGCACCCTGTTCAAATTCACAGACAACACTAAGATGTGGGGGGAAGTGGGCATGCTAGAAGGGAGGAACAGGCTGCAAGCGGACCTAGACAGGTTACAGGGGTGGGCGGATGAGAATAGGATGGGTTTCAACATTGACAAGTGCAAGGTACTGCACCTAGGGAGGAGGAACCAGCAGCATACCTACAGGCTGGGGAACTCCCTTCTCATCAGTGCAGAGGCAGAAAAGGATCTGGGAGTCATTATTGATACCAAAATGAACATGGGCCGACAGTGTGGGGACGCAGTCAGGAAGGCCAACAGTACCTTGTCATGCATCCACAGATGCATCTTGAGCAGGTCCCAGGAGGTGATCCTCCCCCTCTATGCAACACTGGTCAGGCTGCAGTTGGAGTACTGCGTCCAGTTCTGGGCGCCACACTTCAGGAGGGATGTGAGAGGGTCCAGAGGAGGGCCACTTGCATGATCAGGGGGCAGCAGGGCAGGCCCTATGAGGAGAGGCTAAGGGACCTGAACCTGTTCAGCCTCCACAAGTGAAGGCTGAGGGGGGGATCTAGTGGCCATTTACAAACTAGTCAGGGGGGACCAGCAGGCATTGGGAGAGTCCCTGTTCCCCCAAGCGCTACCAGGAATGACTAGAAATAATGGTCACAAGCTGGCAGAGGGTAGATTCAGGCTAGACATCAGGAGGCGCTACTTCACAGTCAGGGTGGCTAGGATCTGGAACCAACTTCAAAGGGAAGTGGTGCTGGCTCCTACCCTGGGGGTCTTTGAGAGGAGGATGGATGAAGTCCTTGCCGGGGTCGTTTGACCCCAGTGCTCTTTCCTGCCATGGCAAGGGGTTGGACTTGATGATCTGCTCAGGTCCCTTCTGACCCTACCAACTACGAAACTATAAAAGAAACTGATCCATTTAAAAAGGAAATGGGCTGTAAATCTCTGGAGCAACGAGAAGTTATCCAGACCAAGTAAGGGATAGTTGAAATAATAGATTAACTTAATTATAACAAAGCCAAACCCAAAACATTCCCTTCCAGTACAGGGCCATTTGAAAGAGAAGAGGGCCATTATTGTATGTAGAGCAAAGATAGCTCAGTGCAAGGAGACTGTAAGTCATGATGAGCCATAAAAATCTTGTTTTGATATTTCGCAAACGTGAAGATTTTGGAAATGTTACAACAGTTCTGGTGTTCTCCATAGCTGGTTGCTAGCTACAACTTTAACAGCAATTTCACAATCTAAATATTTACTTTCAACTAAGTAGAACATTTGGGGATTTTTGGTAGAGCTTTTTGTAATAGTTATTTCTTGTGAATGTGCATATATGTATTTTAATTGGAAAATGTATAGTGTGGTTGACGTCTGGTATGTGGATTTGTGTTAGAAGCTTCTCAGTATCATTAATGTTTGAATATGCATTTTTATTTTTCAGAATTACTTTTTTATTATGTGTGTGTTTTGAGACTACAGGAAAATGAATAGGATTGATTGCATGTCCATTTAAGATTACAGGGATTATGATGAAATATGTATTTCTTTGTACTTGATGTAACTAACATGTAGATCCTGGGAGTTTTGCCATTAACTACAATGAGCTGGGGTTTCACCCATTGATGTCTTGGCCCATTCATTGCTTGTATTTAAGAACTTAGTAATGTTGAAAGCAAATATGTTATATTGTCACTTTTTAACTCAAACTGTTTGAAGAAACAAAACTCTTTTTTAAGCTTTGGAAAATGAGGCAGCAATATGTTTCACAAAAAAAAGTCTCAGATTTAAAATGTGCATTGTACTATCCTATCTCTGCAAGCTGACCACATACTCAGCTTTCACAAATTTAATGTCCCTTCACTGCTATTTTAAAGTAATCCATGTCTGTGTATCTGGATATAGATTTAATATGTGCTTATTATTCAGAAAACCATAGAGAACTGAGACTGGGAAGGAGCTCATGAGGAAAATGTCTTGTCAGGTTCCCCATTTGTCTCATAATTCCTTACATTCATCAATATAAAAACAGATGTGTTCACTCCTACTTTCAAACCCATGGAGGCATGGATCGAGCCTGAACAGCTGCAGGGCTTTGCCTGTACTTGTGTCTGTGCCTGAGCCATGCAGCCATACCCTACTTCCCCCATGGATGTGGCAGCTTCAAGCTGGTGGGGAACTGCACCACATCTGGGAGGTTGCGGGGGAGAGGGTGGGTAGAAATGGTATCAGTGAGGATACAGTCTTGCTCAACCCTTGTGCAGCTCCCTACTGGCTGGAAGCTATGTTGCATCTGGGGAGTGAGGGAGCTGGGGGAAGTGGTGATAGCATGGTTCAGTTCCCATAGCTTTGCTATGCCCGGCAAAGCTCCCTGCTACTGATTGCAATGAAACCACTTGGTCTGTGTCAAACCAGAGCCGGGTTGTGCCAGTCTGTGGACTTATTAAAGCTTGTCAGCCGCTGCGCTAAACCATTGGTTTATTTTCAGAAGCTGTAAGTGCAATGGGTCTTACTCAGGATGTAGCCTGTTAACCATCCCCCTTTGCTGACCAGTCCTTGTATCAGACGGAAGATAACCATCCAGGTATAGCTTGGTGCAAAGGCCACGAGAATGCCAGAAATGGAATTTATGAGGATTGTAATTAACAGGCATAGTTTACGCCCAAATCTGCAGAGGAGAAAAAAATAATTGAATTGAGTCATATAAAGGGCAAATTACAATGTTGGTTAGTCCAAGTTAAAAAGTAATGCTTTGAATTTGTTGCATTTAGAAGAACTATTATTAGCTTTTGTTTGGCAAAGTTTCTCATGTTATGGATTAACATTGTATTTTAACAGCTGGAGCCCTCATCTAAAAAGTGAATTCCTGAGGAATTATTCCTTACATTTTCTACAGAGAAAATACTGAAAGATTCCTGTTGGGCCTATAGTTTTTTTATCCCCAAGTTTTAGTTAACTTCCCTACCCTAAGCCCACATGTTTATGCGGCAACTTGAATGGAAGACACCCAACCTCCTTTTTAGTTTTAGTAATTCTCTTGTTTAATTTGTGGGAAAATCCAAACAGTCTGATGTGCAGCTGTCCTGCGAGCTAGTCATGGCTTGTTGGGCTGATAGAAGATAAAACAGAAACCAGAGTTTGGCAGAAGTGATGGTTCTCTTCTGCAGTCTGAAGAGCGGATTTTAAACAGGAGAGAATGCACGCAGAAACCATTGTTAGCCCCAGGAGCTGGCTTCACAGCTGCCCACACCTTTCTGCTGGGTCTAGGGGTGTCGGAGGGTTTACAAAGGAGCCAGTTGTGGCTGTGCTGATCCTGGGGCTGTATTTTAAATCTCAGGACATGGGAGGTGTTCTCATTTACACTGGCAGATGATAAACTCTAAGGACCCACTGTGTCAAGTGGGTATAAGCGGTTCACAGCATGCTTCAGGCATGTTCTTCTTTAACCACAAATTGCCCTGTCTTCTACCAGATTCAAACAGGGGAATGTGGCCTACTGAACAACTTTACTCTTCTTAGGGAGTGATGGCCAATTTCATCCCCACTTTTATGAATGCAGAGGTAGTTAGCCGTATTAAGCTAAAGTTAGGCAGAAAGTAAGGCAGGGTGGCACCTTAGTCTGCTAGGTTCAGAGAGACCTGAGCTCTTGTAGACAACAACCTACTTTGTCTGATATGAAAGCTCATGCTTCTTTAGACAAGTTAGTCTCTAAGGTGTCACCCAGCCATTTCTTCTACCCCTCCTTTACTGATGAAGTGGTCCAGAGTGCATAGAAACAGCTCAGGGATCCTTTTTTTGGATATTCCTTTTCTCTGCTTACCAGATTCTCTTGTTATAAAGGAAAGGGTTGCTTTCCAGCAAGGAATAAGAATTCCTGCACTTGTGCAGTGGTTAAGTTAGATGACCTTTGAGGTCCCTTCCAATGCAAAAATTCAAAGATTTTCCCGTTAGAGTGTAATTGGTCTTGGTAGATTCTTAGTAGGGTCCTTTTCCCCCACATATGTTTTCACATCTTGCCATCACTGCTTAATTATCTGGCTAGTAGGCTCTGAAGACATCTTTTGGTAGCTGTCTGACCTACATTATTCATCTCTGTTTCTTTTATTTAACCTACGTAGTAGAGTAGTTCTCAAGTCTGGAATATAAGTATGGATAACCCTTTCAAGAAGGATAAGCAGGAAAATTCTCTATATTAAAATATATACAAGTACAGGCAGTCCTCAACTTACAATGTTTTGAGTTACAATGTTTCGCACTTACAACATTTATAAATTGCCACCCTGTTTCAACTTTATGACCTCAGTTTCAACTTTACAACGCTTGATCCAATGTGATGCCATGCTAGCAAACAAGTTCACTGCATTGGCCATCTCTCCAGAGAACATCTGCCCAAACTTCCTTGGATACTTTCTTTAAGAAAGCAGACAAGACTCCAGAAAAACCTGCAGCCAAGACTCCAGCCAAGAACCCTTCAAAAAGTCCAACCAAGAGCCTTTCAAAAAGTCTAGCAAAGTCACCTCAAAGAAGTCCTTCCAAATCAATATGATTGCTATTTGCAATATAAATACATTAATGTAGCTATATTACTCATCTATAATTGATTGAGTACAAAATTCTGAGGTATTTTTGGTGAAAATAGGGTATCGGTCCTTGGTTCAGGAACACATCCCCCATTTATGACATTGTTTTTTATGAGAAAATTGGTTCTGAGTTGCAACGTTTTGACCTGACGGTTTTCAGGAACCAGTTGTGTTGTAAGTCCGAGGATTGTCTGTATGCTTATTCTGAGATCTAAAACAAACTAGGAGGCAGACTGATTGAAATTCTGCCTCTAAGAGGAAAATAGGAAGACAAAGTCATGGTGGTTATCTGATAAGCACCAAATCAAGAGGCGGAGGTGGGCGAAATGTGTGTTTTGTCTTTCAAACAACTAGCTGAAGTATTCAATTCATAGGACTTAGCATTTATATGCAGGGATTTTAATTACTGTGATATCTACTGAGAGGGTAATACAGCAGTGGACAGACAATCCCACAGGTTCTTGGGTTTTGCTGAAGATACCTTTTGGGTATAAATCTTGGACAGGCTCTTTGATTCACAGCCTCTTAGTAGGGAGGAATTGACTGAGAATCTAAAGAAGGAATAAGGCAATTTGGGGGACAGTGATAATGAAATGAGAGGGCTTATGTTCCCTAAACAAAGGAAGAAAGGAGGATAACAGAATAAAACAATTGGACTTCAGATGAATAGACTTAATTTGAGAACTGGTGGGCAGGATCCTGAGAGAGGCAAACCTAACAGGTTAAGGGGACCTAGGAAGCTGCTTGCTCCTTTGAGACCATAAGGTCTCAAAGGTCTTAGAACCACAAAAGCAAGCTATCCTGATGTGAAGAAAGGATAGGAAGTGCAGTGAGAGATCAATTTGGCTAAACAGTGTGGTCTTCAAAACTTATGACACAGACACAGATCTTACAAAAAGTGAAAACTTGGTCATATTCTGAAGGGTGTATACAAGAGTAGATAACAGACATGTAGGGAGAAAATCACAACTATTAAGGAACAAACTGACATGCACCTAGTGAGGGAGATGGAGAAACCAGCAACAGATTACCTAAATGTGGAAATAGGCATTTCTAGATGTGGAAACCTTATCTAGCAGATTACCTAGATGTGGAAACCTTATCCCCTGTTGACCCTTTAAATGCAGGTTAGACAAATATTTGTCGGGGATGGCTGAGGGATGAACCTGCCTCGAGCGAGTGGTTGCAAGAGATGACTTTCTGAGGTCCCGTCCAACCCTATTTTTCTAAAATTCTATGGGCCTTATTTAGTAACATTGTTTTTTGCCTCATTTTGTTCAACCTTTTCCATCTACACAATTCAAATATTTCATGATGGAGCTGTAGTCCTTTTCAACTGTGTTTCTTCCTTCTGTTATCATGGCTCCACTTATATTCAAAAGCAAATGTTTCCAAAAGAAAGAGTTGTTACAATGCTGGAAGACTGTCTGCCCTACCTGAGTGGTTTGAGGTATATAGGGAGCCTAAGTGTTGTTTTTTTTAAACCTGCCATAAAGCTTTTAAGAGTGTGTCTATGTGGCACAATGCAGTGCGATGTAAGGATACCCGAGAGAGCTCTTTATGTGGTATATACATTGTATAGCCACAACAGGATAAATTAGCATGGATGCGGTGCTGCTCTCATGCAGCTGTGTTACTTATAGTATGCAAAAGAGATGCCCTTCTGGGTCAGACCATAGGTCCATCTAGGTCAACACTGTATCTCAGTGACACGGAGTAATGCTGAGGGGAAGAGTATTTACATGAGGTCTCTGCAGACTTATCTGTCTTATCCCTTATACCTTCCAGCATTCGGTAGTCTAGAAAGCACTAATTTGGAGGTTGCAGCCCTACTTTCATGTTTAATATCCATTGGTGGACCTATTTTGCATGAATCACTCTCATCCTTTTTGTATTTGGTTTAATTGTTGACTTCTACAATATACTGTAACAGTGGATACCATAAGCTAATTACTTGCTGGTGGGAGAGGAAGGGGAAGAACTTTCCTTTGTTTGTATTAGAGTTACTATCTAATAATTTTGTTGTATGCCCCTGGTCCTGGTATTGAGAGAAATGATGCATAGAAATTTCTATCTACTTTCTCTTCACCACTTAATATTTTATATGCTTCTATCACATCCCTGCTCCCACTGTGTTTTCTGAAAGGTCCCAGTCTCTTAAGGTTTTGAGACCTGGTATCTCTACATAGCACTACATTATGCTTTTTAGCCATATAAAAAGGCTAAATCGTAAAAACCCCAAATCGTAGGTGCTCTGAGACTCAACCACCCACTGAAAAAAATAAGCAGGTACTCAGCACCCATGAGCCATGTAGGGTGAGCCAGGTTGAAATAATGCACTGCTTCTTCTGGGCCTGCGCGGGGCTTGGCACAGGGCTTAGCTCAGCGTGGGAGGGGGGAAAAAAGCACCCAGTGATAACAAACTAACACTGGCGCCTATGCCGCAAATCGCTTTTGAGGGTTGTTCTATACAGAGCAAACTGCAAACATCCCATACATGGGAAAGCTCAATTACATTTCTCCTTCCCTTTTACTTTTGGCAAGTAGAGGACAAATATTTAAACATACTACCCCCCCCCCCCCCAATTTACAGTTGTTTTACTCATTCCAGTTCTTACGTCTGAAGACTTCTAGTTGTTTGCATTAGCCCCAAACATCTAGAACTCTGCAATCTCTTTTTCCTTTGCTGCATTCTGGATCACTTAGGATAATCATTGCATCATAGAGAAGTAGGGCTGGAAGCAACCTAGAGAGATCATGTAGTCCAGCCCTTGCACTAAGGCAGGAACACCCCTATCCCTTGACCCCTTGGAGTGTGTGCAATGGCAGAAACCTCTCCACTTGAGCCTGCAGCAGGGGGGAGTGGGGGCAGAGGGCTGCGGACCCGGGTCCATAACCCTGGCAGCTGAGAGGCCCCTCCAGCAGGGCTAGGGGAGCAGGGGCTGTAGGTGGGGGGTGAGAGGCACCAGCAAGGCTGTGGGGGCTGTGGGTGGGGAGAGGCACGAACAGGGCCAGGGGGGCTCTGGGTGGCCTGTCATTTTAATCATGGATTTTTGGGGTTTTATTAGAGAATTTGCATTTTTATCAGGGAAAACCAGGATCCCTGCTGATCAGTGACTGTGCAACCCTGTCTTGAACCCTGCCAGTGATACAGTCCGCAGCTTCCTTAGGCAGTCTATTCCACAGCCTCGCTGTTCTAATAGTGAAGAAGTTTTTCCTGCTATCCAATCTAAACTTGCTTTGCTGCAACTTCAAGTCATTGGTCTGTGTCCTATTTTCTGCAGCAAGAAAGAAAAGGTGCTATCCCTCTTTTTTTATGGCATCCCTTCAAGTATTTGAAGACTGCTGTCATGTCCCTTCTTAAGTGCCTCATCCACAAGCTGAACATACCTATTTTGTTCAACTTCTCCTAGTACAGCTTTCCTTCTGACTGCTTTATGATCAGTTTTGTCACCTGCCTCTGGACCCTCTCTAATTTTTCCACGTCCTTTTAAAACATAGAGTCCAAAACTGCATACTTTACCCTAAATGAGGCCTAAGCACTGCTGAATAGAGAGGATTGGTTCACAGAGCTTGAGGAGAAATGAACACATTAGAAATGAGATGGAACAGTAAGTACTTTTTGTTCTCTTCATTGATTAGTTTCACGCAGTTAAATTAGCATACTGAGCAGTGTCCTGCAATAAATGATGCAATTCTGGATAATGCTTTCTATTGGTCCACTGCCAAGAAATGTTCTCCCTAGCTGGCATTAGTCTGAGTCCACTCTAGAAAGTAAAAATTGGTACGCTTTTATTTTGAGAGACCTGCTCCTTGTGTGCTTTTGGAGTGGTCCCAAATATGGCAACTACAATATATTTTTTAATTTGTTTGCACTACTATTTTGCTTTGCTAACACTCCTCATGGGTGAGCTAGCTAAGTTCTTTTTGGTCCACAATAGAGCTCTCTAGGAAATAAAAAAGCTGCTTGTTTGAAGGGGAGGGGATAGGAGGTTGGACACTTGTTAATGCTCTGATGTATAGGACAAGGGCTCAATATTTTGCACAAGAAGAGAAGGAAACTCTATGCTTCAAATCAAGGCAAGCAGAGACTTGAACCTTAGCCTCCCACACCCTGCATGATGTGGCTTTTGGTTATTCTGGATTTTATGTGGTTTTGACCAGAAATTTCATCCTTGACCAGTATGATCTTCCTAGTGAAAGTATACTCGAAGCTAATGCATTTCCACAACAAGAGGCACTTTTAGGTGTGCTCTGAGAGGCATGGGTGGGGAGGGGCTGTAATTAGCAAGCCACGCTAATTAAAAGCATCCAAGAGTCATGTGCATCAGCATCCCTGTGCTGAAAAATGGCAGTTGGGTGCTTTGAATGAAAGCTCATTGAAAGAGCTTTAGTTCAAGGAGCCCCGCCGCCATTTTTCAGTGCAGGGACACTGATGCATGTGACACTATAGTCTGCTGGAGCATATTAATTTACGTTGGATTTCCAGCACATTGGAGCAGGCTCCCTGCACGTGTATAGGAGCCCAAGGGCTCCAGTTTCAGCAAAGTGGTAATTTTCAGAAGAAAAAATATTTAGTCAAAAAGCTTCTGATTAACTCTACTTTGTGTATCAATGGAATTGCTAAACGGGTTTGGATGCTGCTCCTCCAGGTCTGTCCTGGGAGAAGGAGCACCACCTTCAAGAGACATTTGGATGTTTATCTTGCTGGGATCCTATGACCCCTGCTGACTTCCTGCCCCTGGGGCAGGGGGCTGGACTTCATGATCTTCCAAGGTCCCTTCCAGCCCTAGTGTCAATGAAATCTATGAATCTGCCAATGGCATTATTCATTCAGTGGCACTTGTCTGAGCGCATTGGTAGTAAGCTGTATTACCTCCTGTAGAGCCACCTCTGAGCTGTGGAAGCTGCCTTAAGGGAAGAGAACAAGGCAAAGTCTCAGGGCAGTTGCAGACATGGCCATCCTTTGGCAATGTGGTGCCAGTGAAACCGAACCTTTGGTTATGGGGGGCAGGGAACCAGCAGTAGAAGCAAAAGGTGTCCATAAAGTTGACTGTGTGCCTCCACTGGCTTCACACTATGCGGACACAGGAAAAAAAAAATCCATCCTTTGATAACAGATTGATTTGAGGAGTTTGATGCAAGGCTCCTCTCACAAACTTTGTCTTCCACTCAGCAAGCTCCTGCTGTTTTTTTCCATGTAAGGCCATGATATGTCATAGCACATTCTATGTGCTGTTTTATCACCATATAAGTGAGACAACCCAGACACTAAGGGCGCTTGTACACGTGTGCGGGTTGTTGTTTTTTTCCAATCAGCCTATTCTTTGTGTCTTTTTGCGTCCCACAATGTAACACGACGTAGGCAAAGGTTTGGTTGAGCAAGGCTGGCCGTTAGAAAAATCTTTTTTGTTTGTAAATCAGCAGCTGGAATCTGGAGTTGCTGAGACAGTGTGCAAGACTGGAACTCTGTGACGTTATTTTATGGATTCATGTATAACCACACTTGAAACAACCATTGGAGAAATGTTTCTTCTGACTTTCTGGCCATTTGAATTAGTTTTCAGTGCATTTGTTTGCTCTTTCTGTCATTACTGTTTATACAAAAATGAAATAAGCACAATCCAAACAACTACCTCCACAAATATTCAACGCACAAAGGGAATGTTTCAACACATACCTGTCTGCTATGTAGCCGATGCTTATGGAGCCAACAAAAAACCCAGCATTCACACACGACTGAAAGAGGTCCAGCTTCCAGGAATCCTCACACACCAAATTAAACTGAAGAGGCACATCACAGTTAGAAGAAAGAGAAGGTCCATACTATAACACCAGGGACCCCAAGAGGAAGCAACCAACCAAAAACAAAATGTAGGAACATTTCCCAGAAAGCAAATAACCCCCCTTTAAATCCACATGTGCCATCTCATAAATGGCAAAAATAGTGAGACAATAAAATCAACATAAAAAAGGAACATTTTCCAGAAATGGGAAATATATATATATTTTAATGCTCATGTTTGCCAAATCATGTGTTTATCTATCTTTTTCAGCCATCATATTTGGCTAATTTATTGCAAACATTCCAGAAAAATTCTATCCTGACTTTAAATTATTTATCTACACTGGGGCTCAGAAGGAAAAGGGGTTGCCAGAAACTGCATAAATTTAGAACAGCAGCCTAGTTTCTCAAACCTCCACACTTTGAAGTTTGTCACTGATTCATAACTGGCCCCATGAAATTGTGCAAGCGCTATGACACAGGCCAGGCTTGGCTGACAATTGTCCTATATGTAACCATGTTTGGTTGGAGAGAGTTGGATTTAGGGAGCCACGCACTGGACAGCATTAATGCTCTCTGGCTGCAGCCATGTAATCTAGAGGTTCGTGCCAAAGCCTGTCTGTGTGTGTGTAGATTGTTGTACAGGGCTAGCCCTGTAGTTTACTCTGGCTTTCTTAAACTGAGTGATGTTCCAAATATAGTTTTCAGTGGCATTTAAAAAAGAAGACATTTGAAAACTCCAGGCTCTTGAACCGAGCTTTAACCTCAGAGGAAGGTCTGCAGAGAGAAAAGGGCATTCATGGGCCAGTAACTATGGGTTTATGTGTTGCTTAATAGAGTCCTAAGGTGTGATATAATGAGCTCTGCTTGAGAAAAGCTGAGAAACTGCTCTCCTGCTTCTCTTTAGTGCTGGCATGAGGCCCAGCAGCTGACTTTACATAACTTTTGCCTTCACGGAAAACACTCTGCAACTTTTCTCCACTTTACTAAGCGACAGCCTCTCAGGGATTTCCATTCTGGGACGGACCAGTGCTCTCTTTAGGCTGATATGGTGCATCTAATACAGGCCAATGGAAAATATTAAAAAAAGGTGAAGATCATAATTATTTAATACTGTGTTACAGGCTTCCTATTCATCTAATTGAAGTTGATGGCAAAATGGGAAAAGCAAAAAGTGCAGGGTGTTTCCTTAGTTTTTACTTCCCAGCCTCAAATTTTTATCTTATTCATATGTCCATGCTATTTGCTTCAATATTATCCTGTGGCTGAGTTTCTCAGATACTGCTTTACTCAATTGTTTAACTCCTTTCCTTCCATGAATCTATGAATCTATTCTTATTAAATGTGTGGGATGTTTAATCTTAGAGACTTCCCTAGTGTTCCTTTCTGAAGGAAGGAATAAAAGGTGCAAAAGGCTTGTGCTTTGTCTTATATTATCCATCACATTTGCTCTTTCTCATTTCCTTTCTAAATAAAATAGCTTGACTGTGTTCACCTTCCTCACAGGTTCCTAATAATTTCTGTTCCCCTTTTCTGGCTCTTTGTTTCTTCCAAGGAAAGATAACCAAAAAAGAATGAAGATCAGGACACACATATAGAATGATGCTACCGTGTATTATTTTGAGTCATCTTCATGCTATATGACACTGAATTTTGTTTTCAGAACTTAGGGTACAATTTCAATTTGCTGTGTATGTCTTCAATGTATTTGCCTTACCTTAATAGCAATACATAATCCCACCCTGAGTTTTTCTGCAATGGCTCTCAGACTGCTTTAAAAAAAGGTCCGTATCATGTACGTCTCAGCTCCCTCATTCATAAAAATTCATCCATTGCCAGTTAAGGGACTTGTCTAAGTCGCACACAGCAGGCCAGTAGCAGAACTTGGTACACTTTGACCCATCTCGGCTATGGACAGGGCAGCAGGAATTTGATCTGATATACTGTCCTGCTAATTATGAAAACACCAATTGTATCTGAAATACCTTGCAGAAACATAGGTAATGTATAAATAGGGATTGCTATCTATAACAGTAACCAACAGTGAGCATGTTTTCCTAGATTCATACTTTTTATTTATTATTTCTTTATTGAATTTATATGCTACCCTTCCCAAAAAAGGTTCAAGGCAAAACATGCAATATTATATATAAATATATTTCATAATTATGAAATCTACTATATACTAATTTCATATGACTATAGATATCATATTTAAAGTATAAAAATTGTTTGTAGCTAACTTAATAGTGCTGAACAGAAGCATTATTTTAGGGATGTAGATGTGGAAGGGGAAATCATCACTAGGACTAGGGATCCCCACGTTCAGTTCCCTGTTGTCACATCTCCTGTGTGACCTTGACCAAGTAAGCAAAATAGGGTTAAATTTCTTTCCTATCTTGGGAATAAAAGTATAATGAAGATTGTAGGAAGTACTATAGTGATGGGGAGTCATAAGTACAGGGGTCATTTGGATTTGGTACTTAGAAATACATTTCAACTTACTGTGCATTGCTTAATACCAAAGCTAAACTTTTTGCTAAAGTTTTAGTAAACATTTTCACTTTTTGTTTCAGAACCAGATCTAATATTAGTCTCAGCATTGAGATTGTACTGAATTTGTATTGACACACAATTATTTTATATCGTGCTTGCTAACAGCATCATGAGAATTTCCTGCTTAATACACGTGTCAGAATTTTGTACTTTGCAAAAAACATAGATAAAATCAGATCGATTGGGGGATTCCCCCCCATTTTTAAAATGAAGTGTGTCTTACCTCAGTCACAATAGATGTTCCTGAAGAATCGTAAACCCAGCCATCTTCACAGTGCATGAGGGGAACCCTGCTCTGGCTGGTATGGCTGGTGAAGTTCTCCAATGGGCTTGTGCAGCTGAGGCCAGTCATGTTCCAGTCCACGTTGTATCTCCAGCACTGACTAGTGAGAGACTTGTCATGGTTTCCCCACTCAGGAACAGTGTGATTCAGCTCCTCTTCCAAACTCCAGCCACACTCGCTGCTCAGCTCTGCTACTCCAGGACTAAGACAACGGTGTTCAGGGATGAACCCCAGGAAGACAACACCCACGTAGATAGGAGGGAAGGCAGCTGAAAGGAGGCATAAGATAAAAAAGGTGCGCTTCTGGAACAAGTCAAATTCTCCAATGTGCTCTAAAATGTCATCTAAGGTTGGCATTTTTGTAAGTGGCAACTCATTAAATTAACTAACTCAAGTTGCTCTTCACAGTATTGCTCTGTATTTGCCAGGAGAGCCGCTTAAATAGTGGCAGGGTATTGGACCAAAAGTCACAGTAAAATAGTTAATTGACTTTGTAAATTGACAAGCCATGCGTTGCAACCTTTATTTCTCACATGCTGTTTCAAATGAAGGCTTGATTCCCATGTGACACAAACTCAGTGGTTGGTTCTTATCTTGCTTTATGTATAAAACCTTGGGTTATTAAGCTTGGTGTGCTACATGGCATCTTTGTTGATTCATTACTATGAGCTACAAGATAGATGATTATTCCTCTGTAAAATGTATCATAGTAATCTGAGTTCATAAGTATTTCATACACAAATTGCACTCCTCATTTCTGTATACATGGCCTGAAATATTTATATCCTAAAGTATGATCACATTCTGCTTTGCTAGGGTTGAAATGACACCAAAGGAATTGCAATGAGCTATGTTTTAAAGATATTAAAGATATTAAGGCCTGAGATGCATATAAACATCTATTTGAATGTTCAAAAGTGCCTAGGTGCTTTTAACATCTGCTGATGTCCATGGGAGTTAAGTGCTTAAATGAGTTGAAAATCCCAGATGTCTTTCTGCATATTTGGTATCTACATACCTTTTTTAGAAATCTGATCCAATGACATCAGAGGAAGTTTCTTCAGCATCTGAGAGGCATAGGGCTTGCCTATGCAGGTCTACATTGCCCCTGAAGAACAAGGGTGGAAGTGACCATAGCACAACGTGGGTATTGTAGGCTGTAGAGCAGCCCATAGGCACTCAAAAGGGGGTTGGCACAAGTTAGACCAACTTCTACAGCTGCTCTAGCCTATGCTGAGGGCTGCATTAAGTCCCAGTGAAAATAATTTTAGGGATTTGCAAGTGACCTAACGCTAGGTTTGCCTTAGCTGTGCTACATGGAGGCACCACCTCCATGAGGTAAGATTCTGAATGACAGCCAACATGGCTTTGTCATGGGCAGGTCTTGCCTTACCAACCTCATCTCTCCCATGACCAAGTAACTCACCACCTGGACACAAGAGAGCAGGTTGACATTGTATACCTTGACTTCCAAAAGGCCCTTGATCTAGTATCCCACAATGTCCTTGCAAGAAAATTGGAGAATTGTGGGTTAACTCCGAGACAGTTAGGTGGGTGAAAAACTGGTTGCAGGATAGGACCCAGAGAGTCATAGTGAACAGATTGGTGTCATCCTGGTGAGAAGTGGGCAGCTGTGTCCCGCAGGCATCGTTGCTCGGTCCAATACTTTTCACCCTCTTTATTAAGGATTTAGATGTGGGGGTGAAGAGCTCATTGACCAAGTTTGCTGATGACACCAAGTTATAGGGAAACATGGTCACGCTTGAAGATAGGCTGCAGTTACAGGCAGACCTAGATAGGCTAGCAAGTTGGGCTGATGAAGTTCAACATTGAGAAATGTAAAGTGCTCCACCTCGGGATGAGTAACCCCCAACACACCTACAGGCTTGGTGGCACCAAACTGACCAGCACCATGAATGAAAAGGACCTGGGGGTAATAATAAATGACAGTATGAATCTGAGCCAGCAGTGCGATGCCATAGCTAGTAGGGCAAATAATACTCTGGCATGCATCAATCGATGCATCTCCAGCAAAGCTAAGGAGGTGATTCTTTCGCTCTACTCAGCATAGTGCAACCACAGCTGGAGTACTGCATCCATTTCTGGGCACCACACTTTAACAAGGACGTGGACAAGCTTGAGAGAGTTTTAAAAAAGAGCAACCTGTATGATTAGAGTCTTAAAAGGCAAGCCATAAGAGGAAAGGCTGAGGGATCTGGGACTCTTCAGCCTGAAGAAAAGAAGACTGAGAGGAGACCTGGTAGCAGCTAACCACTACACTAGGGGAGTATATCAAGGGCTCAGTAAGCAACTGTTCACCAGGGCACCCTTGGGGAAAACCAGGAGTAATGCCCACAAACTCCTGGAAGATCGATTCAGGCTCAACATTAGGAAAAACTCCTTCACAGCAGGGTGTTCAGACTGTGGAATAAGCTCCCTCCAGAGGTGGTGCAATCGCTTACCCTGGAAATCTTCAAGAGGAGACTAGACAGTCATCTTGGTGGGGTTACCTGACCCCCAGTTATCTTTCCTGATTGGTGCAGGGGGCTGGACCCAATGATCTTCCAGGGTCCCTTCCGGCCTTACAATCTATGAATCTATGGTTTGCACCTCATGGGATATGGAGCATAGTCCATATCATTAAACCATATTCTGTTTGCATGAATCCTTTCTAGCTATTTTATGTCACCTTTATTATACAAAGCTGAAATCATATTTACTTGCAGGCTTTTCCCAAAAAAACAGCTCTCCAAAACTGGGGGGTGCGCCAACCAGCAGGGAAGGTGGTTTCTGTGCTGGAATGGAAGCATGGAGACACTGTAAAATGGCTGCTGTGCTTCTCCCCTTGCCACTCTCAGGGAGGGAAGGGGCTGAGTTCACTTTTCAGGGGCAGAGCTACACTTTTAACTTGCACGGCTGCTGTAGATTTGGCAGTATCAGCTGGTAAGTTCACCTGTGGCTGAGAAGTTTAAACACTTAAGCTTTTGCCTGAGCAGTGGTGGTCGGGATTCATCCATGCAGTCAGGATCCCCTGTCAGAATTCAGACATGACTCTGGGAAACATCTTTTTTTTTAATTTGTTCATTCTTCCTACAAAAAAGGTGCATATCTTATTTGGGGTCAAGTGTATGGGGAAAATACTGCATGTAGTCCTGTGCTAAAACTCAGTGAAACCTCTTTAATCCCTATCAATCCTCCTTTGTCTTTGTATATTGCCTTGTTTGTCTCTTTGTATATTGTGTATTATGCAAGTTCCATTCTTGTTAATATCTGCTCTGTGTTCCAATTTATATCTCCACTGTAATCAATCACATGGTCTGAAATAAATAAATTTACGACATGACTACTGGTGGGTGAATCTGAAATTTAGTAAGATGCTATGAAGAAAGAGCTAAATGTTTTGTTGACAGCTGAAACATTTTATTGAGCTAGAATGTTTGGACAAAATAATCTGCTACCAAAGAATTTGGCCCTTTCCTGGAATATTTCTGCCTCCATATCTTTTTTTCAGAATAAGTTTTCTCACTACATATCTAGCTATTATTTCCCTTAATCAAATGGAATAATACAAATAAAAATGAGCTAGCTAGTCTTTGCAATGTAATTTGTCTGCTTCTGGTTGGAATCAATAAGTTGTTTTATTTGATCTTTACTTTCTGCAGAGTATTCAATTACTTTTGTGAGTTTTAGGAAACAAAAATAAATGATGAACTTGGGTAAAAGAATAGGTTATAAATAGCGGCTTGGCCTTTCTTTAAGAAGGGCTTAATAAATCAAACACAAACCATTGTTGTATTAAAAATGGCTGCCATGCCCAGACACTTTCATGTCAAGCAGAAGTAGAATAGACCAATAGATGTCCACAAAATGCAAGGAAATATCCCTTATGATAGAAGTATTCCCCTGTGGTAGAACAACAGATTTTGTGGCCATTAGATCCTCACAGACATGTTCGAACAATGGGAAATCACAGGCTCTGGGCCTGAAAGATTAGACAGGGCATGACTGAGGACAGTCATTGGCAGTAGCATAACTAGGGGTGGGCAAGAGGGTGCTACTGGGCACCAAGTTAGGAGGGGCACTGGAATTGCCCCTTACCCTCACAGATTCTGCACCCCAGCAGCATTCCTACGTCGGGAATTCCAAAATGGTCCACAGCTACTACTGTTTTAGGAGCAAAAGTTGGAGTAGGCAGAATACATGCTCTGGCAGCAGGAGCTCAGCCAGGACTGTAGAGTTCCCAGTGTGGGTAAGAAGGTTGTCCCCCTACCCCTGCTCTCAGCACCTGTTCCCTCTCCCCCTGCTCTTGGAACATTCCCCCACCCCCAGTCTCCTGGGTGGCAACTCTGCTTGATATACCACTGGGTATTAGTAAATATCTACCCATAGGCTCAAAAGCAACCTGTGGGCCGTAGCTTTCACCCCCTGTAGCTGTAGCATGAGCATTAGGGCAGATCAGTGTTCTTTACCCTGGCACCACTCCAGTAAACTTTGAAACTCTTGCTCAGTGAGCAAAGAATTGTATGGAGAAGACAAAGCAGTCACTCCTGTAAAATGGTTGGAGATGCTGTGTATTATGCAGCTGTTTTTTTAAGTAACATTTGAGTGATTTCAGAGTGATTGCTACCAGGAAGCTTTGGGCATTACTCTACCTACCTCCAGGGAAACCTTCTGCTTCTCCCAAATCAACCTGGTAGCAGCCCCTGCCTAGTTCTCCTGTTTGACAGAGGCCTATGCTCATTTGCCTAGATTTAGACAAACTTGCAGGAAGAACCACTCTTGTGCCTGCTTGGCCTTTCTCCCCTTCAGGTGCCAATCCTCTAGGGCCCATCTGACTCCTTGTAGTACAAATAGTATAGGGCTTTGTGGTGTCTTGTGATTCTAACCTGTTCTCCCCCTAATGCCGGGGAGAACAACTGCTGCTTGTTGAGGAGGGGAGAGGAAGTGAAAGAAGCTAGACCACATTGTTTTAGTAGAGAATCCCAAAAACTCCATCAAGAAGACTGTACGCATTATACCTGTGACAAGAGGGACCCTGCAGTGGTAGGTTAATGAAAGTAAGTGTCTTCTGAGATGCATTTACTGTGTATAAGTACTAATCTCTTTTAGTTTATAGAAAGTAAAGTATTAGCATGCCTGTTACAAAACATGTCAGCACTCTAAAAGCTGAGTTAAGTACCTCTGTACTCTGAACCTCTTGGAATCTCTGATACATATTCTCAATTTTTAATAGATTTTCATGTCAGACTACAACAAAGTTGAAACTTAAAATACTGCTATAAAAACAACCTGTGGTTTACAACATGCATCACAGCCATCACTGACGTTGATGACCACCACTATCCCTTTGCACTCATTCAGTAGCATTTATTTTATCTGAAGATCTTAAAGCATTTTTTAAAGGTGGGTAGCTCTGATTCAGACAACATTTTGAAAAAAAGAAACAAAGAGGACTTCTAAGACCTAAATCCTCAAAGAGATATAAATGCTGAATTCTGAGTCATCTTGGGGTGGGAGGCTCTTTGGACGCAAGTGACTTGCCCAAAATTTCTTGGGTTGAAGTAGAACTCGGCTTTCTTATAAGTCCCATGCCAGGCCTGGCTGAAATTCAGTAGCAGCAGCATTCCCTCAATTCAAGGATGATGTCTGCCATGGTTCATTGATGGGTCTTGAGGTGACTTAAGAGTCTAATCTTTAGCCACAGATCTGTCTGCAGAAGATTCAGGTCTTTCTGCAAGAGGGAGTATACAGTTGTCTTGGATTTTATCCTTTTCCTTTCTCGGCTTTGGGGGCAAGATGCTTTACCTTGAGGTGGGCTGACACTGGTTGAGGTTGTGGTGCTATTGGTGTTGGTTAGTAGCCAGCTTTTCCCAGCTCTTGATGTTGGCGTCCATTTTCTTCAAGTATGATTTCAATGTGTCCTTGTAGTGTTTTCTCTGGCTGTCACAAGATCTCAGATCACAACTAAGCAGGGAGTAGTGCAGTTATTTTGGGAGCTTAGAGTCAGGCTTTCACACACAATGTCTGGTCCAGTGAAGTTGATGCTTGAGGACCACCAACTCTGTGCTGATAACATTGGCTTCAGCAAGGATGCTGGCATTTGTGCAGCAATCTTCCCATTTGATGTGGAGGATTTTCCAGAGGCATCACTGGTCTCCAGGATCTTGAGATGATTATGGTAGGTCACCCATGTTTCACATCCAGAAAGGAAAGTGAAGATGATGAATGCATTGTAGACCTGGACCTTGGTGTCTTTCTGGAGATTGCAATCAATAAATACATGCTGAAGCAATTTTCCAAAGGAGGTACTTGCACACTGTGTCCTGTGCTGGATTTCCTTGTCAACGTTCACTCCTTGAGATACAGCTACTAAGGTAAGGTAAGTGCATGACTACCTCCAGGGTATTTCCCTCAGTGGTAATTGAGGAGGCCATGTACAGTC